AGACTAATAATGTTTGGAGACGGCTTGAGTGGGTAATGAAGAAAAACTTTAATATAAGTTTAACATAAGAGTAAATGTACAAGGTTTTGTCATCGAAATAATCTCTGTTGAATCTATGATTAATTGTATTGTATGTATAAGAAAACCCTGTTTGTTTTTGTGGAAATTTATAGTTTTACCTGCGCTGTATCTACCGCGGGATCGAACTCTGAATTTTAGCATAATAGCCCCTCAGGCTTATCACTGAACCGCTGGAAACATATAAGAAAAGTAAAATGTATTAGGTATTTTTTTTTAATAAATTGTGATCGTTTTGTAACTCTACCCTCTCTCTCTCTCATTATCTCCTAGAGCTAATCCTTCTCTTCCTCACGGACTTGTAAATATGAGACTAAAATTGACCGACCTGGAAAGATTCTGCACTGTACTTACAGAAACTACTGAATTATGTACTTAGTACAGATCATAGAAATTATAAGTATTGGTGATATACATGTATATTTCAAGTGCTACTACTCATTAATTCATAAATAATTTAAAAAAAATGATTTTTTGTATATACTTATCACAAACCAACTTCTTGGTTCGTCGAGTGTAGTTTTTTATACAAAACAAGCAAAAGTACCCGTCCCCAGTGACGGGAAGGTTTAAGTTAACATATCAATTTAAATTACTTCATGGACTTTAATAACGTTCATTGTGTTGCACTCTTGCTACTTATACCGCCCACTGCGAAAAGTAATTGTTCAGCATCTCAGTCATGCTAAGAGCCGGTCAACAATATCATATGGTAAATCTATATTTTCGATCTTTAAGTTACGTCACATTTTGAAATGTGAAAGGTTGTGTGATTAATTCCTAACGATTTAGTGTAGAATATCCTGCTTACGAAATAAAATTTGGCATCAATAGTATTCATGCCTGTTCTCCCGTCATTTCAAAAGTGAATTTTGAGCTTCGCCTGCGTGTGCAGCTTTTCAAACGGGAGACAGACGAACGCTCGGCTAGACACAATGGTTCGCAATATATATATAAGATAACAGAAATTAGTTTGTATATAATATAAATCAAGCAACTAACTGACACATTATTTAGTTGTCGTTTTGGATAAAAATATTCGTGAAACTTTTAACAGTCCAAAACATTAGAGTAATAACTAAAATAACTTGATAAATATTGTTAGAAACTTAGACAACATAATATAGATAAATCTATTTCAACATGTTACAACTTTTAGAGTAAGGAAGAAGTTTTTAACTGGTACGACGATTCAATCACTGGTGCGATCTCAAGTGATCGGAACGTCGTACCTGTTTAAAAAATATATATTCTTCCTTACTGTAAAACCTGTAAAATGAGTAAGTAAACTCAAAACGAAAATATTTATAAATGTTATAGTATATTCGGGAAAATGTTAACAGTCCAAAACATATGACAGTTACCGTATTTTTCG